TGGCGGAAGAGGAGCAAGGAGAAACCGTGCGGAGGCCCGTTGAGCCTCTCAAAGATCAGAAGGGATGCAGCAAGTGGCTTCGGCATTCTTGTTTACTTGGCCGGGTGGCTGGGGCGAATTTAGGACCTCCCTGGCTCCAGTGGCCTCCAGAGGCCCAGAGAAAGACCCAGGAGCCGACCCAGAGGCAGACCCGGAGCCCAGCGGGGCCCCGCCGACGCCAGAGGCCGCCACGGGAGCCCGAGGGCCCAGGGGCGAAGCAGACCCCGACGGCCCAACCAGGGCCTCGCTGCTGGAACTGGCTCCTGAGACAGAGTCATCAACGCTCGCCCTGCTCAGCCCATCGGCGTTGCCTGCGGGGGCAGAAGAGTTTGGCTCGTCGGCCCGCGGGTCCTCCTCAGAAAAAAACATGGCCAGGAATCGAACCTCTCGTCAGAGTCGGTGGAGATCCCATCGGCGACGTCCAGGGAAGCGGTGGGTTGAAGTTTCAGCTCCTCCAGACAGGGTCCGTCGCTCTTCTCTTATCTCAGCGGCCGCCACTCTGGCAATGTTCAACTCTGCCCGAGCCTGATTTGACTTGGAGGCTTAGTCATAGGCCGTCCTCGTTGAGGAAGCCTCTGTGCCAAACTCAGAGTGCGTGTCAAAAGATGGCTGCCAGACTGACGCAAGCGCACCTCGATGCCCAAGTGAGTCTTCCAGGGCACCGTGAGAACTGCCTTGGGCTCCACAATGCACGCCAGAGCCGCTGTGCTGCGTAGAGCATAGTCGACCATGCGGTCTTCTTTTCCAGCATTGCAAGTGCACTGGACAGGTGGAGTGAGGATGTGGCCCCTGACTCGGGAGGCGAACGGTGAAATCTTCAAAGCTGATGCTGGCACCTTGAAGTCGCCGATGACCAGCCATGGTATCTGTAAGGGGTGCCAAAATGCTCCTGGGCGCTGGAAAAGTTGGAGACTGCTACCATTGAACCCGATGGAGCTATGGCCGTAGAGGCACGCCACCGCCAGAGTATACAGTGGGGGCGCGTGCCAAGAAACCAGTTGGATTTTGCCAGGGTGCCCTGGGTTTCTTGGATCTCGATGGGCCCCCAATAAGATCTTGACGATTTTCGATCGACAACTTTGAACTTTCACCGAACAAGTCGCGGATTTCAGGGTTGGGTTTCCTGCGGAGGTTTCTTGTGGCCGAGCCCCCACGGTACCCGGCCACGTGCACAAGTGTGTCCGCCATGCCATCGAGCGTAGCAGTCCCCCCCGCGCGCATGATACTGTTGCTGCCAACATGCGGGCAGCTGCGAACTGAAGATGACCGTGGCTGAGAATCCATTCGCCTTATCGGTTGGCTCGAGCTTGTTGGCTGTCCGTTGAGCCTGAACCCCCGATGCTGCTCGCGAGCTGGGTTAGGGAAGGGCCTCGAGCCTGCTGCCCTCGCCTTGTGACCCCGCTTGCGTAGCCCAGCACGTGCCGCGTGCGTCTCAGCGAAGGCGGCTAGAGGATAGGTATACTTGAGAGAAAGGTAGTAGTTCCAGGTGCGCTCGCTTATGCAGGCCACATTGCCAAACAGCAGTGCGTTGTGCGACTCCCCGTCGGTCTCGGTAGTGGATCCCTGTTCCACTGAGGAGGTCGCCGTAGCCGTCACGCCGTAGCCACTTGCCGTGGCAGAGGAGGCCCCCCGGGTGCCAAGAGCTTCGTTGGCGGACAGCGAAGTCACCCGCCTGCGAGAGGAAGCGCTGGAAGTGGAGGTAGGAGAAGGAAAGCGTGGTGAGTCCTGAGGTGGCGGCTCGACGGGAACGCTCGATGACTCGCGCTGACTCGAGGGCCCCGTCGCCGTTCCTCGAGGAGATGCAGCGTCTGATCCGAAACCTTTGCCCTTGGCAGGAGGAGGAGGAGGAGGAGGAGGAGGAGGAGGAGGAGGAGGAGGAGGAGGAGGAGGAGGAGGAGGAGGAGGAGGAGGAGGGGGAGGAGGAGGAAGTGGGACGCAGGAGGAGGGACGACGGAGGGGGAGACGGTGGGGGAGCGCGCGGAGCGAGGGCTGACCCCCCCCACCCCCCCGCGCGGCGGCCCAGTTGGGAGGAGCGCGCTCCGCCGCCCCCGTGCGCCAGGCGGCGCGCGAGCGGCTCGACGGGAAGCCGCTGCTGGGGCCGCCGTCTGCGGCGCAGTACCTGGTGGAGGTGCAGGGGCCCGGGGCCGGGTTCCCCGTCTGGGGAGAAAGAGATACGGGTACGTGTTGTCCCCCTTCGTGTTCGGCCTTTCCCGGTCCTCCTGGGGAATCCTCGTTGTCACCGCTGGATTCGCCTCGAAATTCTGGTCAGAACGCACCCCAAGAGAGGTCCGGGGACAACACGTATCCGTATCTTTCCGCCCCCCAACCCAGACTCCTCGAGGATGAACCCCTGAGCCTGATAACACGACGAGAGGCGTGGCCTCGCCTCGTTGCACCATTCGAGGCCTCCTTGATGGGGTCCGAGTAGATGGGGTCCAAGGATTGCTCCGCATCGCCGATGCACGTCGCCGATGCACCGCCGACGTCGACGATGCATCGCTGGCGCATCGCCGATGCATCGCCGATGTATCGGCGATGCAGCGCGATCCTCAGACCCCATCTACTCCGACCCCGTCGAGGAGACCTCTAGAACCCTAGTAACACGATGGAGACGTGGTCTCACTTAGGTCCCCGTGCTCGAATGATGGATCATCATTTTGGGTGGTCTGGGTTGATGCATCTGCAGAAAGGACCCCCTGTCCCTGATGTTGTGGGCCTCTCAACTCAGGTCAGGTCCGCTCCCAAACGGGTTAGGAGGCACTTTTTGTTGCTTATCACAGAGCCCCTCGGCCATGCGCACGAGGGGGCAGGGGGGAGGGGGAGAGTCTTCTTGGAAGGAGGCTGCTTCTCAGAGTGCCCCCAGATGCCAAAAGTAGCGCTCGGCCATGCGCACGAGGGGGCAGGGGGGATGGGGGGAGTCTTCTGGGAAGGAGGCTGCTTCTCGGAATGCCCCCAGATGCCAAAAGTGGCGCAGAGGCCTCGCGCCGTGATCTCCTTGTTGCTCGGGGAGGTCTGGGCTCCCCCCTCCCCATTCGCGCTCCTCGTCCGCTCGACCGCCCAGGGGGGAAGGGGAGCGAGTGACACGGGGTGTGCATTCCTGCGGGGCTCCCGGTGCTGCACGTCGCAGGGGCGAGACACCGGGGCTCGGCGGGGCGCACAGCGGGGTAGGGGGAGGGGGGAAGGCTTCCTAGAAGGCGGGCTGCCTCTTGGAAGGCGCGGGCCTCGCCTGCAGATGGAAGGCCCTCGCCTTCTGGTAAGCGGCCTCCTTCGGAGAAGCCCTCCCCCCTCCCCCTACCCCACTCTCTGCGCGTGGCCAGTCTCCGTACCTGGCCTCGTTTCCTGGTTTCTGTCCCCAGTGATCCGCTGTCGTGCTTTTTTTCAACACCGGGGTCCCCGGGAGGGTCGACCAATTCCCCAACACAGGCTTCTCTTCCTGCGTCGTTTTCGCGGGGTCCTGGGGCCCGGTGAGGGCCCTCGGGGGCCGACAACTGCGACAAACGTCTCTCTTGATCTTTCAGTGCGTTGGACCTCTGGGTCCCTCGCGCTCCCGCGACCGCGCTAGCCCCGCCCTGGCGCCGGCTCCTCTCGGAGCGACCAGTGACATGGGGCGCGGCAGGGGCCCGACCATCGTGCCGCTCCGCCCCGAGATCCAGGCGCTTAGGTGTAAGGCCCGTTCCTTCGAAGAAGGAGGAGGAAGAAGAGGAATAGTAATACTAGCAACAAGCCTATCATAATATTACGAATCATATTATGCATATCGTACACAACCAAGCAAGATCTTATGAATAGCAATAAGAACCAATAGCAATATCAGCCAATAACAATATCAACCAAGAGCAATGTCAATAATAAGGTTCAGCCACGAGCAGTTTATAATCTACTATCAGTAAGACGAACAAGCAACAATATCAGTTCTACTAGTACTAGTAATATACGAACCAACATACTATTCTTCTTATTATTTTGATTACGATTACTATTACTGATACGACGACTACAACAGCAACAACAACTACTACTGATAGCAATACTCGTAACTCTAATAATACGAATCATAAACATACTACCGATAATAATGCTAATAGAATTACTAGATGCAACAATAGTAATGCTAATACCAATACTAATACTAACACTAATAACAACATTACTGTACGAATGTATTGATAATGCTACGAATAGCAGCAATGATAATACTAATCAGACAAATAAGAGAAAGAGGAGGAGGAGGAGGAGGAGGAGGAGGAGGAGGAGGAGGAGGAGGAGGAGGAAGAGGCAGCCTCCTTCCAAGAAGCCCTCCCCCCTCCCCCTACACTTGTGCGGGCCGCTAAGAATCGGCCCCCGGCCGAAAAACGTTCAGTTTTTTGCGGGGTCCAGTTTGTCTGGGGGCCGAGGGCTGGGCTCCCAGACCTCCTCGGAGGCCCCGGCCGCTTCCCCGGGGATGGCTTGCCGTCCCGGATCCATTCCGGAGGGTCCCCGGGCTCGACCAAGGGCCCCGAGTCGGGGTTCAAGAGGCGGGGGTCAGTGCAAAGGGGGGTCAGTCAGAGAGCCGGACCTTGCCCGATCCTGCAGAGCCAGAGTGCCAGGTCAGCGTGCAGGACCCTGCAGGATCCTGCAGGATCTTGTCAGATCCTGCAAAGCCCGACTGACCCGGGTTTGCACTGACCCAGGTCAGTGCGCCTCCGACCGAGGGCCGAGATCGACGACCACCACAACCGCCACCGCTGAGCCGAGCGTCCAGGGGGACTCGTGGGCAGAAGGGCGTGCGAGGGGCATGTCCTTGTCAAGAGGCAAGAGAACACGTTGCAGAGTGGTTGCGTGCAACGAGAGGAGACGGAGGAGAGGGTCACGAGAGGCGGGCGAAGTGGAGACGGGGACGAGGAGCGGGCGAGGTGGAGAGAGGAGGGCGAGGAGCTGCAAAGGCAGATCGTCGGAGAGCCGGCCGTGCGAGGGGAGGGGAGGCCAAGCTCGGCGAGGGCCTCTACGGCAACATCAAGTTGCTCAGCGACCAGGAGGGCTCGCGGGGGGCACACCACCCCTGCCTTCTCGCCAGGAACAAGGGGAAGCGACACCACCACCACCACCACCACCACCACCACCACCACCACCACCACCACCACCACCACCACCACCACCACCACCACCACCACCACCACCACCACCACCACCCACCACCACCACCACCACCACCACCACCACCACCACCACCACCACCACCACCACCACCACCACCACCACCACCACCACCACCACCAGGGACCACCAGCACCACCACCACCACCACCAGGGACCACCAGCGGGCTGAGCCAGGGGGAGTCCCCCTCGTGGTGTGGTCCCCCCTTCTCGCTCGAGACATCCCCTATCCCCAGCTCGGGGAGGCATCGTGGACCTCCTCGCTGCAGGTGGCCTCCCCACTGGAGGGGGCGCACCACCCCCTGGCTTCTCGCAAGCCTGCCCCAGGGCTCATCTCGATTCGATCGATCCGATTCGATATCGATTCCGGTTGGCCCGTTCCGATTCGATTCAGATATTCTGACGAGTCGATGCGGCCGAGCCCCTTCGGGCGGTCCTGGGCGGTCGGAAGCTTGAAAAGGCGGTAACGTCAGAATCTTTCAACAATTCAAGCAAAATCGCTGGTTTCTGCCTCTTCGTGTCCTCTTGCTCCTCTTGGGGCCCTCCTGGGCTCCTCTTGGGCGCCTCTTGGGCCACCTTGAGACCAACTTGGGCCATCTTGCAGCTATCTTGGCCTGAGGCCGTGGGGCCTGCACCTCCCTCCTCCTCCTCCTCCTCCTCCCTCCTCCTCCTCTTCCTCCTCCTCCTCCTCTTCCTCCTCCTCCTCCTCTTTCTCGTCCTGTTCCTCCTATTCCTCCTCCTCATCCTGCCTCCTCCTCCTCCTGCCTCCTCCTCCTCCTGACTCCTCCTCCTCCTCCTCCTCCTCCTCCCCCTCCTCCTCCTGCCTCCTCCTCCTCTTGGCCTATTGGGCGCCTCCTTGGGGTGCTTCTGGGACGCTCCGGTCGGGAGCCCACATGTGGCCGCGCCCCGAGGTTCCAGCACCCGGGACCCGACCCTGCCAGGAACCTGCCAGGACCTTGCCACGGTGCTCCTCGTCGTCGTCGTCGTCGTCGTCGTCGTCGTCGTCGTCGTTCCGTCGTCGGTCCGTCGTCGTCGTCGTCGTCGTCGTCGTCGTCGTCGTCGTCGTCGTCGTCGTCGTCGTCGTCGAAAGAGGAGGAGGAGGAAGAGGAGGAGGAGGAGGAGGAGGAAGAGGAGGAGGAGGAGGAAGAGGATGAGGAGGAGGGGGAGGAGCAGGAGCAGGAGGAGGAGGAGGAGGAGGAGGAGGAGGAGGAGGAGGGGGAGGAGGAGGGGGAGGAGGAGGGGGAGGAGGACGGGGAGGAGGAGGAGGAGGAGGAGGAGGAGGATTGTGCTAGGATTGTGCTACTTATACTTACGCAGATGGAAAACGCCACGCAAGCCGCCTCACGCCTTGCAAGCCGTACTTACATAGGCGTTCCTGGTAAATGGCCGCACTCCCATAACGAATCAGTCTACCCTTGGCCGTTCTCGTTCGGGATGGTGGATACCTCCTTCACAATACCGTCCACTTACACTGACCGTCAGAAAAGCTTGGCCTAAAACACGGCTGACACGCCTGACAGTCCTTGCTGCCACTGCCTGTCTTCCCCTTCTCGCACGAGTTGATGCCAGCGTTGTAGCTAAGATATTGGGCTCCAGCTACGCCCCCCACTTCTCGCACGAAACTTGCCCAGAGCTCTCGACTAAATTGGGCTCCAGCTTCACCCCCCGCTTCCCGCAAGAGGCTTCTCACAGAGCTCCCGCCGATACTGGGCTCTAACTTCGCCCCCCACTTCTCGCAAGAGGTTGGCCCTGAGCTCTCGACACTAGTGGGCTCCAGCTTCGCCCCCCGCTTCTCGCAAGAGGCTTGCCACAGAGTGCCCGACAATATTGGGCTCCAGCTTCGCCCCCCGCTTCTCGCAAGGTGCTTCCACTGACTCCCAGCCCTTCCGCACGCGAGCTGATGCCCGCACGCTTTCTCGCAAGGAAAGATACCGGCGTTGTAGCTGATGACCCTCCCCTGCGTTCGCCGTGCCACAGTGCCAGAAGCTGCCACTGGTCGCCTTCTCGCAAGAGCCCACACCTGCTTTGTAGCTGGCTTCCCGCTCCCGCGTTCGCCCGTCGCGCCATGCTGGATGAGAGCACTGCGCTTCTTCTCGCAAGAGCTGATACCAACATTGTAGCTGGGCACCCCGCTCCCACATTCGCCCTTCTCGCAATGCCGGGTGAGAGCACTGCGCGCCTTGTCGCAAGAGCTGATACCAATATTGTAGCTGATGACTCCGCTCCCACGTTCGCCCTTCTCGCAATGCCGGGTGAGAGCACTGCGCCCCTTCTCGCAGGAGCTGATACCAACACTGTAGCTGATGACCCTCTCCTGCGGATGCCTTGGTTCCGGTCTCACCTCCGTCTCGCGGAGCACAGCCAGAGCCTGATGCTACTGCTGGTCCTTCTTCGCACGCGTCGATACCAACGCTGTAGTTAAGGACGTCTGGTTCCAGTCTCACCTCCGTCTCGCGGAGCACAGCCAGAGCCTGCTGCCACTTCTCGCCGTTCTCGCACGCGCCGACTGTAGCGCTGTATTGAAAGATGTCGGGCACCGGCTTCACCTCCGCCTCACGGAGCCTAGCCAGAGCCTGCTGCCACTGCCCACCCTTCTCACACGCGCTTCTTTCGGCGCTGTAGCTGAGGACGGTGGGCTGTATCCCTACTCTCTCCCGCTCGCGGAGTCGGGCCAGAGTCTGATGCCACTTCTCGCACTTCTCGCACATGCTGATTCCAGCGTTGTAGCTGAGGAAGGCGTCGGGCCCCTGCGATTCTTGGGCTGTGCGCTGTAAGGCATCACCCCTGCTTGCCAAGAGGAGGAGGATGGGAAGGGGGAAACGGACGGGGAGAGGGCGAAAGGAAGGGGAGGCATCTTGGCGGCCCCGCATGCGCCTATTCGCGGCGCCGCCACTGCAGGCGACGGCGTTTATTGATGGCGCCATGCTTCTTTACGGCTCCCCGAAGCATCGCCGCTCCGAAGTTTGCGACGGGAACGCCCAGGCGGTCCACGCAGGGACGGGCCGCTCGGGCACGGAACGGCTGAGGAGGAGGAGGAGGAGGAGGGGAGGAGGAGGAGGAGGAGGAGGAGGAGGAGGAGGCGGAGGGCGGAGGCGGAGGCGGAGGCGGAAGGCGAGCGGAGGCGGATTGATGATGATGATGATGATGATGATGATGATGATGATGATGATGGATGATGATGATGATGATGATGGGGATGGTGATGGTGGATGTGATGATGATTGATGATGATGATGATGATGATGATGGTGACGATGATGATGATGATGATGATGATGATGATGATGATGATGATGATGATGATGAGGAGGAGGAGGAGGAGGAGAGGAGGAAGGGGGAGGAGGAGGGGGAGGGGGAGGAGAGGAGGAGGAGGAGGAGGAGGGAGGCGGAGGAGCAGGAGCAGGAGGAGGAGGAGGGAGGAGGAGGAGAGGAGGAGGAGGAGGAGGAGGAGGAGCGGGAGGGGAGGGGGAGGGGGAGGGAGGATGGCTTCTCTTGAGCCCCTTGAGGGGCCGCCAGGCGCCCGAATCAGAAACATCCTGAATCTCTGACCGGGGATTCTGGCACGCCTCTCTAGCGCGTTGGGGCCGGCGAGTTGACGGTCCCGAGGCCCTTCGAGGGCCACTGGAGTCCCAAAACTTCCGAAACATTTTATTTTTTCCGGACGACGCGAGCATTTCTGGGGATGGGTCCGCAGGCTTGCTGGCACTACTTTTGATGGACCACAAATTCTGCACCTTTTATGGTGATCTTTGTGAGCGCTCCCCGCGCCCCCACTGGTGGGCTGCGCCGCCGAGGTGTCAACCTGTCGACTGGCCGAACTCCTGCGTTCTGCTGGCGATGTCAACCGACATCGAGTCTGGGGCACGGGGGCGCGTTGACGTCTGCAGTCGGGCATATAATTCTACAGGAAGCATGTTCAGGAATGGTACAAATATTCAGGGGACGATTTTTGCATACTCTTCTCCCTACATATGTTTTTTTTTTTTTGTTTTGTTTTGTTGTTTGTGTTTTTATTCATATTTTTTGTTTAAGCGTTTTTTATACGGTTCTTCCAAAATCCGCCTGTAGGAGGACATGCCCGACCTAAAACCCGTTTGCGCCGACCCCCCCAGCCGCGCGGATGGTGCAGGATTTTGTCAAGCACTCGGAGTCATGGGCCGAACTCCCCTGGCCGCCTGGGTCGGCGCGGAGCTCCGGCAGTTTTGTGCCTGTTCAGTATCTCTTCTGCTGCTCGCGTCGTGAAACAATGAACGACGGCAGGTTTTTGGCCATGCTCGGCGCCTGGAGGCCCTCGCCGGGCCCCTGGACCGTCAGGAAACGACTCGGGATGGAAGACTGGTCCCAGGGAGAAGGGTGTGTCCACAGACTTCCGGCGACCGCGTCTTGAGAGCATTACAGCAGTGAAATCGATGGTGAGATTAATGCTGGGATCGATAGTGAAATCGATCGTATATGGACGATAGTAAGGTCGATCGTGAGACCGATAGGGAAGTCGATTCAGTGAAATCCATGGTGAGATCGATAGTGACGTCGACTGTGAGCTCGATAGTGAGATCGATAGAGACGTGGGTAATGAGATCGATGGTGAGTCGACCAGGAACCCGGGAACCTGGACACCCGGGAATCCCGCCGCCCACCAAACTCGGCCCGGAACCAGCAACCGGGACCGGGAACCCGGAACCGGGAAGCTGGAAACCCAGTCGCCAACCGAAATCGGCCGCGGGCAGTTTCGCCACATTTTTCAACATCCGCTAGGACCCCTTCAGTGCAAGCACTGATTTGGACATCAAGACTTCGCAGGTCTCGGTAGCAAATCATGGGAGCCTGGTATACCCTCATAATTCCGTTTTTAGCGTGGATGAGCGTCGATTAGCGTCTG